TTGGTTTATAAAGGATGTCTTAACCATGAACTCTCAAAGGGGCTAAAATCAACTCTTTAAAATTCTTGTATTTTTCTTTTATTCAATCTTTTATCTATACTATATCACTGCACATGAATTAGAACCGCACATCACAAAATTGCACAGGGATTACAAATATTACATCCAGTCTGCATAAAATCGAATTCCACTACTGACCAGATCACAAAATGGCTGCACTCTCTAATCTAAAACTAATTTGCATATTGTACACATGTAGGACATTTTTAACTTGAAGTCACAATAATGCATGCAAGTTCGCTTTTTTTTTAAAACAAATTTTATAATTTGTTCATGCTACCTAGATTCAAGAGAGCTTTTTTGAGCATTTGCAATACCTCACCTCTTGTTAGTTAATAATTCTAGTGCATGCATATGGTGTATACAGGTAAGTAAACATGCATTTTTTTTTCACATTCTAAAACTATGGCAGTCTAGGCCACATTGTGCTGCCTGCATTTTATCTGCAATGCAGTGTGTCTCTAACGCTTTCAATCCCGTATTAATAGGTGGCATTTACACATAACACCTATATAGCAGCAAAGCTAATACAGCTTGTGATTAAAAATGTTTAAAAATAGCTAATAAATCAGATTATCTTGAGGTATTATTTCTTGCAAGTCAAAATGGAGAGCAAAAAAATCAACCCTAATTTTTAGTTTATGTATACACTGAAAATAGCAACAATAAAAATAAGCATTTGTAGCAGACATATTCCATCTTCACTATTATTTTGCTACCTTTGGTAAAGTTACTGGGGCAGATCTTGAAGTTAAAAACCCATGTTTAGAAATAAGTGCACGCTTCACCCACTATATAGCAGCAGACTGTGTTGCCCCTACGCAAAACATTCTCATATCTAATTTTAACTTTACATATAAAAATAACTTGGAGAAAATACAAAAAAACATTTTATTTTAACATGAAAATATCACAAAAATTAGTAAGCCTGAGATGTAGGGTTTTGGTGAAAAACAAGAGGCTTGTAGTGTTTTGGCTGCTGATAAAGATGCATGTATTGATAGCTGGGGTGAAAAGCAGAAGAATGCACTTATTTCTTCTGCATGTCAGTATCTTCAGACACAGTAAGCCACATGCACCCTTTCTTTCCTTGTTGAAACAGAGGCCAGTTTGCTATTCTTAGTTCCAGCGGAAGTGAATCTGTCGTGGACGATCAGCACCTTCCTTCACCAATGGCTTATGGAACTCACGTCCTGCACGAGAGTGGATATTTGCCCAACAAAACTCACAGTAATACTGCAGGCAAGTGACATTGGCACAAAAAAAGGGAGCAAATTTTCCACCACAGCGTGCACCCTGGCATTCATCGCACATCTGGTCATCTAGCACATATGGCTTCACCTCCACCTAGAGAAAGAGAAGGTAGAAAGTGTCTCATTAAGGTTGGCTTCAGGAATCAAATTTAGTGATGACTTAAAATGTTTATACAGTGTTCTAGAGAAAAGGACCAGCACGAAAAGTTGAGAATGTAGAAAGTTTCACAAGGAATTAGTTTTTAACCTATATAGTAGGTTTAAAAAAAAGACATCTGTTCTTATACTAATTATATTTTGTTTATAATTGGCTGTGTGGTTAAGTGACAAGCAGTTAATTCTATTTTATTTTATTATGTTTTCTTCAGAGGACTATAAATGGTGTTTACTGTATTTTCCCAAAATGAAATACTTTCTAAAAACCTTAAAAATCTAATTGATTTGCAAGACATTCCATCTTCTCTTTTATAGAACTAATATCTCTGAAACACCTTGTATTGATATTTTGACAGTTGGGGGTGACTGTGAGTGAAAAGCAGACATGGAAGACAAATAGTTTCCACTTGCCTTTTCCCTTATTGTTATACCAAAAAGATGGCAACACTAACAGACACTGATTAAAGCAGAGCTTCTCTACTGCAGGTGAGAGCTACACCTTTCTTGTGAATAATTGGTACAGACAAACCAGAACCATGCCTCACTTGTCAAGAGCATGTCTAGACTTCTGTGGATTTATAAGATATAAATCAAAAGGCTCACTGTGAAGCTCTGACTCAGCAGAGGATGTAAAGATGGCAGTCAGGCTGAACGATAAGATCTCTCAACCTCAGTTTCCTCATTGTAAAGTGAAAATAGTACTGTCTCTGAGTTGTGAGGATTTAATTATACAAGAAAAAGCATGGCAGGGCTTGGGCACATGGCAAACACTATTTAAATCAGTATTAACTACAATTTGCTGCTATACCCTTGCTTCCTGTTCAGAAGAGTTTTATAAATGGAAGGTTATTATGTTGTCTGACTGAACAGTGCCAAAGAGCCGAAAGTTCTTAGCTATTCCTTAGGAGAGGACAGAAAACTGAGTGTTTTGAAGGGCAAAGTTTGAGATATTGTAGAATTTGCTATGGTAAAAAAATAACCCAACAAATTCTATTGAATTATGAAAGTATCCTTTAAAATACTTCCATGTTTTAGAAAATGAACATATAAAGGATATTTTATAGAGCAGTTTTTGTAAGAAGAAAAGTAACAAATTGGAAACACATAAAAGCTGATGAAAAGGAGATTTCTACCCCAAATATTTGATAGGAAGGTAATGGAATTACACCATTACTTATATTATTTCACTGATTAGGATTAGTATAAGCATATTTAATGTAGGCTAGACATTCTATTTTTCTGAATTGCCTGTTTATATCTTTTTTTTGGGGGGGGGAGGAGGGTACTGGGGATTGAACTCAGAGGCACTCCACCACTGAGCCACATCCCCAGGCCTTTCCTGTATTTTATTTAGAGACAGGTTCTCACAGAGTTGCTTAGCACATCGCCATTGCAGAGGCCTCCTGAGCTGCTGGGATTACAGGTGTGTGCCACTGCGCCTGGCTGTTTATATCTTTTTAAAAAATTGACTTACAAGTTATTTTTGCAAGTTAAGAATTTTTACCATTTTCCTATTGATCTATAATTTTTACAACAAAATTTTTATGCCCAAATTTTACCAACTTTTTCCTCTGCCATGCTACTGCTTTTGATTCATCATATTCATTACAAATAAAATTAACAAAGTGCATTACTGTGATCAAAGAATAAATGCAGGTAATGTGAGAGTTACAAGTTCATCTCATTAGTTTATAAATCCCATGAGCATAGGAATGGCAACCATGGGCTCAACATTCAGTTCTTAGTATCTAGCAGAATGTATGGCATGAAGCAGAAACTCTGCAAACATCATAGAAATAAATGTGGTACATTTACATGCTTTCTGGGTTACTTTCTTGTGATTGACATTTTTCTTAACAATTTCAAGCACAATGAAGCCAGGGTCTGTGCTGTTTACTTCCCTTTTATAATATTTCCCCAAATGCGAGGTGCTCAAGAGCTACTGAATGTAAACCATTGATCGACTAAAATGGAATGATTTAAATTTTCTAAATATTATTTAATGAAGCTAATCTACTTATATCAAAATCACAGAATTCAAAGAGAGAAATGTGTGAAAGGGAGTTTCATCAATGTTTGACCTAGTTTTATTTTCTGCCTTTTCCTTTTTCACTTCAGAGAACCTGCAAAGTAATATTCTGTCACCCTGACTCATAACTAGTGAAAATTGAACAATTAATAATTATACAACTTGAAATATAACACAATTCAATCCAATATCCACCAGAAATTAGTGAATTAATTGTATTAGTAATGAAAACAGGCAAAACATACAATTAAATACAGCTCTGTTGTGACTGTGCTTCCCAGCTATCAGAGAGATAAGAACTAAGCCTCAAAATGTACATGAGGCTAAAAGGTTAAGCTGAATACATAATTTTAATTCCTTCAAAATAAATAGGCAATGAATCTTTGGGATAGTATACATTTCAGTTTATACAGTCATTCAAGCTATTTTATGATTTAATAATTATATTTACATTGAAGAGATGATGGTATCAAAGTTAATGGCATCATATTTCCATGTATAAAAAATACTGGTTACTTCTAAAATAGTGATGAATCAAATTCTTTCAAATAAGATTTGAAAAATACCTTTGTAGCATATAGCTTAGAAAATAAACTTTTCTCTTGGTTATTTCAATACTTTAAGAAGGCCCATGTTTTTAATTCATCTGCTCTGCATCTGAGTTGCTGTTTAGGAATCAATACTCTGCTCCAAATAACTGGTCCTTCCTACCATTTTGGAAACAAAGAGGTGTGAGGTATGACACAGCAACCATCTTTTCCTTCTGCTTGCACATATTGAACAATTATACACATGTAAATACCTTCTTCAGTGATCCATCACCTCTTTCTAAAAGTAGGGGATAAGACTAGATCTGTGGTCTTCACGATGGCTGTACATTAATGTCACCAGGGGGAGCTTTATAAACTCCTGCTGCCCTGGTGTATCCCAGACCAAGGAGAGCAGAAGCCTGAGGGTAGGACCCAGAAATCAAGATTTTTTTAAGTTCTCAAGTGATTAATGTGTAGCTGAGGTTGAGGACGACATGACTAGAGAAATCTAAGGTTCAAATCAGTTCAAAAAGTTTTTATATACATGTTTGAATAAAAGCATAGCCCTCCTCTTATTTTTTCTTTTGGTAATATTTTATGTGGCAATGCAAACACAAAAAAAGCCATTCTGCATTTATTGACCAAACCTTTGCTGTACTTCTTTTGTAAATAGGATGATCTCATAATTATATTGATGGCTACTTCTGCAATCCATAGCCTAGTCAATTTGAATTGAGTCATCTAATTTCCCTGTCCTCAAAATATCTTTCAATGTGCAAAGCAGCCTCAGAAAAGGCTTCATGACACTGTTACACTGGAAAAATAAAGTGCTCACTCAAGTTATAGCTACCAATTTGGATTTTAAAAAATTCCTCTACCCCATATTCTTAGTATATTTCAGGTGTACTGTAAATGTAAACAATGTTATTTTAGAAATTGGTTAGTTATGTAAAAGAACTCTTCCTAGATTTTTATGATATGGATCTATAAATAAATAATTGAGTTATGTTCACTTCTTTGCCCCATTTTAGATGGTAATCAGTGCTTAGAATTATTTAATAGGACAGGTTTTAATTATCATTCACAGAACTTGGTGACAGTGTAAGTAATGCTACCAAATTGCTAATGTTTTAAATTTTAGATCAATCAATTTAGAGAAATTACACAATGTATTTTAATTTTAAATTTTATTATTAAGAATTAACATTTAGCTGGGTGTGGTGGTTCATGCCTATAATCCTAGCAGTATGGGAGGATAAGGCATGGAAGATCGAAAATTCAAAGCCAGCCTCAGCAACTTACTGAGACCCTGTCTCAAAATAGAAAAAGGTCTGGCGATGTGGCTAAGTGGTTAAGCACCCTGGGACACAAAACAAGAACACAAAACCCACATTGAAATAGTACTTACTCTGCACTAAGTCCTATTCTAAGTGCTTATACGAATATGTGAATTCATTTAGTTCTCAAATTAACTAAGACAAACACTAGTACTGTTTTCCATTTTATAAGTGAGGAAATAGTAGGCATGGATTAGATTAATTTGCCCAGGATTACAAAGCAAATGGTGGAAACAGGAATCAATCCCAGGCAGCCAATAACTTTCCGTGGCTGGAAAGATAGCTGCCACCCACTGGCTGATAAAATGGTAAACATAGCTTTAAAATGATATCTATATTCATGATTTATACAGTATACTTACTTTAAAGTATAAGAATTGTGCATTTCAAGGATATTTTGATATAACTCTAAGAGATAAAAGAGTATAAAAAGTGTTTGAATATATTATTAACTCTGTAGAGTAACAAGCTTTGGATCAGCAACTTCTTATGGGACATAAATGACTTCCCAGTATGCAACTTACGCGTTTATCAATATCACCATGCTGAAGCTGAACAAATCGAGCACTAATGGCAGCAATATAGCTCTGCTGATTGGAAAAAGCAACCCGTCCAGCACCTTTTGGGTATTTTAGCTCTGGATCTGTGTCAATTCCTGCGTAACAAACTCCACCATATAGCCGGTCCATGATCATAGCAAGTTCCACTTCAAAAAAGAAAGATGTTCGTATTAAATATGAGAAAACAAAGCAAATAATAAGAATTTTTAAGTACTTTAAAAAAATCAGTGGAAGACAATAGAACATTAACAAAACTCAGTTGCTAAAGGAGGGCCTAGAATTAAGAAGCCTTTTTTCTTTAGTTTTTAAAATATAAAGTTAGACTCATCACCACATTTACCACACTAACTCTACATATACTATATGCTATCTTCTTTTCTCAATCTGATCCTGTCACCTATATACTAGGTCCCATCTTCCCTCACTGTGGAAGGATATGCTTTGGCAATTCTCCACTCCCTCATCCTTACCATCAGCTTTTCTCTCATACTGGTCATTTCCAATACATTTTTGTTTTGGATTGTTTTTGAAATCTCTTTTAAAAGATTCTCACAACCATATTTCTCCTTCTCTGGTACTACTTCATTTTTGTGTTCTCCTTTTACAGACAAATTCTTTAAAAATTTTTAAGGTACTTCTGAATCCCTGCCTTCCTATTTTCAGTTCAACCTTTAATAATCAGACTACAATCATTCCATGACTCTGCTTTAATTGCTCATGTCAAGGTCAACTTTCCCTAGTAACAAGTCCAATGGTCCATCTACCTATAAGCAGCACTGACCATGATTAATTCTTTCCGTCTTCTTGAAATATTTCCTCCATCTGGCTTCCAAGATATGTTGTTTTACTAATTTGCACTTCACTGATAATTTTCTCTTGTTTGGTAGTTCCTACTCAACTCTTTTGACTTTTCAATGTCAGAATGCCTCAAGTTTAAATCCTCTATCTATACTCCTGGCTTTGGTGACTCCTGAATTTGTATCTTTAGTAAGAACCTCTCCTGTGGACTCCAGATTCATAAATACAACTGTCTACTGGATAACTCATATTGCAGTATCTGTTAAATATCAATATCTACTGGGTTAAAAATGGAATACATGTAAAACTGATCTTCCTCCATCTCACTAAACACATTCCAGTGAGTTTTTGCTGACCCAGTTCATAAGCAAAAAAGGATAACATTGCCAAGTAAAGATCCTTAGCTACCATGTTTTCTTTTCCTCCACTACACACATGAAGTTGATTTTCAAAATATACCTGGGATCTAATCTCCTCACTTTCATTTCTAAAATCCGGTTTCAAGTTATCATCATTTTTACCTGCTTTATAACAGTCTTATCTCTCTGATTCTGACCACCCCCCCCTTAGTTACTTCCAAAACAGTAACAAGAATGATTGTTAAAAAACTATACCAGATATCATATGGTTTAACTGAAATTTCTATTTACAACCTCTGAATGGTGCTGTGAACTTATGTTCAAAACCAAGATCACAATCTTCCCTTCCAACTTGCTCCTTTCTCCTGTGTTGCTCATACCTCAGTGGAAGGAATCACAATCCAATATTGGCTCAAGATTGAAAGCTTTCAACTTTTGCATTTACTTCATGAGTATTTGTGATATCTGTTTGCTTGACTCTTTGTCCACTGTGACTACTCATCCTAGCCACCACTGTCTCTTGGACTCCTAACTTGGCCTACCCATATTTACTTGCAACATTAGCTCAAACTGCAAATATGATGTCCTTTCTCTTCTTAAAAACTCAAATGGTCTCCCCTTGCTCTGAGAATAAATATCAAATCAGCCTATTAAAGACTTGTATGATATAACTGGCATTAACTTTTCAGTGTCTTTTTGTGTCTCTCGCCTCACTCCTTGCATCCTCAATCAGCCATTCTGGGCTTCCTCCAGTTCCTCCATTGCACCCAGCCTCCCTGTACTGAAGACTTCTAAACATGCTATTTCTTTTTTCTAAACTGCACCCCTCACAGAACTCCTATTGCCCCACTCCTATTCTTTCTGTTCACCTTTATATCAGAGCTCAAATACAAGTATCTTTAAAATATCAGTTCACATCACATTTCCTTGCTATATATGCTTATCTACTCTCCACATTATAGAAGTCATCATGTTTAAGTGTGTGTCAACAGTTCTTTAACACACATGTCCCAGACTGGAAGAGGATGTTCTCAATGATGGAATTCAGAGGATGTGTGGTATCACGTAACTTGCTGACACGGTGGGCATTTGCATCTCCAATTCTATCCTATATGACATTTTTCAGGAGATTTCTGGTTTTGGCTATGATAAACAGAAGTTTATCACTCATCTAAAATGATGACTTAGTTAATGGATAAAATATAGGAAAAACTAAAAAAAATTCCATATTTATTCAGATATCAAAATCAACCCACATAACATATGCAGTATATCTTAGAGAGTTGTACTAAGGAGTCTGAAGTAGTCAAGTGGGTTCTTCTCAGAGTTTGTTTGATGTTAGCTATTGATATTGATAGATGAGTATCCAATTCCTTCGAAATTTCAACAAAGGTTTTCAAAATTCTTTAGAGCTATTACTGGTATAATTAAGAATCTGCCCCTGCCCTGCCAAATGATGTCAGGTCCATAATAACTGTCAATGTTTACTGAATTCACTAACACACATTTAAATGATGTTTTAAAAAGCAAAATTTGTTAAGATTTGACTTACCAGCCCTTAACGGCCTAGGAACACCTCCAACAAAAATTGTTTTTCGGGGATCCAAAGGTTGAGAACCATCCATAACAAAATCACTATCACTTAAATTCCAAGGACGAATTTGAACCTATAAAAAAATTACATTTGGCCTTACTCCTTTCATTGTTTACAAATTTTATAATTGGATTCAGAGACAAATTTATGAGTATAATTTTCTACTATAACTCTCTTGGGTGTTTTAAAAACTGAAATTTTAACATGGTAGTTTTTTCTTTTTCTTTTTCTTTTTTTTTTTTTGTTCTGGGGAGTGAACTCCAGGGGCTCTCGATCACTGAGCCACATCCCCATCCCACCCCTTGTCCCCGCTTTTTAAAAATATATTTTTGTATTTTATTTAGATTCAGGGTCTTACTGAGTTACTAGGGCCTTGCTAAATTGATTGAGGCTGACTTTGAACTTGCAATCCTCCTGCCTCAGTTTCCCAAGCTGCTGGGATTATGATAATTTGTAGCATGCAGTTCATATGGTATTTACTTACTGGTTTGTCCTTGATAGTAGGGCTGGAAACACACAAATAGAGCTTTCCCTCTTCTTCAATACAAGCATCAATTAGTGCTTGAACTGAGCTCTCTTCTTGAAAGAGAAGGAATGCATAGCCTGGAATAACCATTAGATGTGTCAAGTAAGAGACTTCACCTCAAATTTCAGTACTGTTTAGGAAATAAAATACTGTTTTTTTTTTTGGTGGGGGAAGCCTTATCAAATAGGACTTGAGTCATTATGTCTTCTAAAAGAACACAATATCTTTTATAATATATACAAACACAGATAGTTAAACAATTAGCAGCTTTCTGTAGAGCACTTACCATCAGGTATTGTATGTACTAAGAACTTTACCTAAATTATTTCATTTGATTCTCACAAGTCTATTAAATATTGTCCCCATTTATAGAAAAAAAAAGGACTTAACAAGAGGTTGAATTACTTGCTCAAAGACAATGTCAGAGCAAGTAGTTAGCTGAGTAATTTCAAACTCAAGTTTGCCCCGGGGTCTCCCATGTCTAATAGTGAGAGATACCACATTCTTATAAAGAACCTGGCAGAATTAGCCTGTTTAATGTATTAAAAGCTAGAGTTTCCTTCAAATATCCTCAGAATAATACAAGTTCTAGAGTATACTTTTGGTCAACAGCACACATGGAAAGGCCCAGGAAATTCTGTAAGTACTGAGAAAATTCTAGTGTCCTAAAAACTTTCAGATGATACTAAGAAAGTTACCCTACAGAGGTTGGAATGAAACATGTTATTTAAGGATGGGGCAAGGACTTTTAAATTAAATCGCAGTTTGGAGACTAGGTTGAGAGCTGGTATAAGCTCCTATTTAGATACCTATATTATTGGGGAACAGTCCTTCCCTTCTTTCCTGTGAACCAACTGCCAATATTTTTGGAAAAAACATGTATTCAGTTGGGTGTAGTGTCTCCTTTCTATAACTCCAACTATTTCAAGAGGGTGATGCAGGAATGTGAAAAGATCAGTTTAACCTCTATGACTTAGAAAGACCCTGTCTCAAAATAATAAGGTGTGTAGCTTAGTGGTACAGTGACTCTGAGTTTAGTCCTCAGTACCCCCTCAAAAAAAAAAAAAGCAAAATATAAGTTATATAAAAGCTAGTGTCAATTTTTTATGGCAAGTTTTCTATTATGAGATGATTCTCAGCAGCTGAAAACAGCAACTGACCTAAAAAATGTCTTGCCTTGACAACATGTCTATCCAAATAATTGAACAACATTGTAATCTAGTCCCAATACGAAGCTGCCATCAAGTAGACTATGCACATCCGGTTCTGTGATACAATGGGAAGTGCAAGGTCACATACTCAGAACTCAAAAACACAGCTATTGTCAACAATGGATTCTATGTCACAAAGGTAGCAATAAAGTATTTCCTTTTATTTTTTATTTTTTGATACTGGATATTGAATCCAGGGTTGCCTAACCACTGAACCACATCCCCAACCCTTTTGTGTGTGTGTGTGTGTGTGTGTGTGTGTGTGTGTGTGTGTGTGTGTAAGAGAGACAGGGTCTTGCTAAGTTGTTTTGCTGAGGCTGGCTTCAAACTTACAATCTTCTACCTTGGCCTTCTGGGTTCCTGGATTACAGGTGTGTGCCACCAGACTATGCATGATCAAAAACACTTCTTGGATTTTTGTAATTGCTTGAAGAAATTTAAATATGCATGAAAAAATGAAAACTAGTCTTCTTTAAGGCTTTAATTTTGACACAAAAGATCAGAGAACTATAACCAATCTAGGCACAGTAAGAAACTATCAGATAATTTACTGAAATAATACTTTAAATTCAATATTTTTGCTTAATTTTGATATTAATATTTTAATATTACTCAATTAAAAGCATCCATATTTTTAATATTGCTTAAAAATTTTTTGTTACCATTTGGAAAGAAATATTTGTATTATAAAAATTAAGCAATATGGCAAGTAAATTATAACCTAATGTAAGCCATTAGATATTAAAATATCTGTATGTTTTCTTTAAACCATATAATGATTTCTTCAAAGTTTATTAAAGTAAGCTAATGTGATTGTTGGTCACTGCAAAGTAGAAGGTGTATGTGTGGCTCAGCTTCTATAGGCTCAAGTCCCTGCTTTATTACAAGGTAGCTGTATCAACTAAATGGTTCTACATCAGTGTTTTCCAAGCCATGAAAGAATACTGAATTACAGAAACAAGAAAATACTTGAAAGAACAAGGCTTGGAAACACTAGTCTTTGGCAATAGCTATAATTAACTATAATTGTATCAAAAAACCTATGATTTGCTAGTGCTAATTTTTTCCCTTTAGTTTGAGAAAATAAACACTGAAAAAAAACCAATAACAAAGGCAAAAATAGCAATGAAGACAACTGTTGTGTTTTACTAATTGTTACAACCCATCCTTCTAGGCTTGGAATGCCATTTCCCCTATATAAGCAAGTAGTTCATGTAAAAATTTGTATCTGTCTCCACCCCAAAAATTCAAAATTCTTTCTAAAATTATAGTCAGCCCTTAGCATCCTTAGGGGTTTAGGTCCATAATTATAATTCCCCACAGAAATCAAGATTCAGGGATGCTCAAGTCCTGTATATAAAATGTACATGCAAATATACATTATAACTCCCATATACTCTAAATCAGCTATTACTTATAATAGCTAGTACGATATAAATGTTAAATAAGCAGTTGTATAAAAATGATAAAGAGAATAATTTTTACATGTTTGGTGATGATGCAAATATTTTTTTTCACTCAATAATTTTGATACGTGGTTGAATTTATCAAAGACAGGAGCGTAAAGATACAGAGGGTTAACTGTACATTTCAATTCCTGCCTAGAACCCTGTTCAACTCCTTTTTATTTATCTAAATTACAGAATAGCTTTTAGAATTCAAAATTTCTCAGTGAAGATTTCTCCTACCTACTTGAGATCAAAGTAATTTTTCTATCCTGTAGCTTTTTTTGTTACTTATATCAATTATTGGGCAATTATCAGATCACGAATTACTAATAATACAAGAATACAAATATTTACAAAAATTATAATTATAAAAAATTATAAAAATTATAACCTAATGCAAATATTTACAAAGTTTAAAGACATATAAAGACAGTCTTACAGAGGGGATAAAGAAACTGACACTAACAATCACATATCTGTGAAGTTGTAAAAAGGTAAGAATGCGATTGTGATGACTGTTGTGAAAGAGGCAGTACTCCTAGCAAGGGCAACAAAGGGCCTCTCCTAGTAAGTAACCAATGCATAAGCTAGATAGAAAAGGTAATTAGGGAATATACAGACAAAGAATTATGGAAAGAACCTTCAGGCCAGGAGACACACAGAGAAGCCCTGAGGCAGGAGAGAGCAGAACCAGTTCTGGGACTGGAGGAAGACAAGAAGTAATAGTAGAAGAAGATAGAAAGAAGGGAGACCAGACAAGGTAAAAGCATTTTTGCTTTTATCTTAACAACAAGAGGGTTTAGAGAAGAGGAATAAGTAATGGGATCATCAGTTGAGTTTTAAGAGTTGGCTGTAGCTGGACTGTGGTGGGAGGGGAAGAAAACAAGAGATGTGGACAGAGAACAGCTGGGGTAGACCCAGTGAGGGACGATGACAGCTTAAGCAAGAACATTAGAAACAGAAATTTTTACTGAACACTCAACCTTTATAAAAGAACAAGACGATAAAACTATAACAGCAATAGCTGAAAACTAAGCTAACAAAAATTATCTATATGGAGCCAACTTTCTCTTTAAACTTAAGGCTTGAAGCTGGGCATGGTGGCACACACCTGTATTCCCAAGGATTTGGGAGCCCGAGGCAGGGCCAAGTTCAGGCCAGCCTTAGCAACTTAGTGAAGTCCTAGGTAACTTAGTGAGATTGTCTCAAAATAAAGAAATCAATAGATAAAAAATAAAAGGGGCTAAGTGGGGCTAGTGATGTGGCTCAGTGGTTAAGATGGGTTCAATTCCTGGTATCAATAATAAGCAAACAAAGGCTGGAGACCTCCAAGTTCAGTAAACTCCAAAATCATGTAAAAACTTGGCATATAAGAAGAGAGGTCTATACATTTGAATAGATTCCCACATAGATCAAGGATCCAGAATCCCTATAAAAGATGTTTGATAATATAAGATCTAAGATATTATAGTATATAAAAAAATCAGAGCATTATTCTATTTCTGTAAAAGAAGTAAGTAATGGAGGTTCTATAATTCTCAAAGACAACAAGTGGAGAAGGGCCATCTAATTCCTCACTAGGAACACGCAGGTAAGTGTTTGTGTGCCAATAATTATCTATCATGTTTCCTTTCCCACAGTCAACAATCAGATCATTTAACAGATCCGCTGGAGTCTTTTTCTCTAGGCTTGACAATTCACTCAGCCACAAGTCTCTAGAACTATGATTTTATGATGTTCAAAGAAAAGTTTAGTCTTTTAACTTCTCCTTTTTTTTAATTCACTTCAGAAGATCTGCAATTTGCCATTCTGACTGACTTAATAACATCCAGCTCTTCCTTCCTACCGTCCCCTTATCATCATGGGATTTGCAAGGTTAACATCAGTATGGTTTCTTCTCTATCTAAATTACTTCTTTACAAACAGATTGCATATTACTCTGCTGTGATCTGGAACATTTATGTAAATCTTATAATATTTAAACTATAAAATATAAATAAATCACTTCATGTGATCTTCATTTCAGAGGGATACTTTATTACGTTGTTCATACAAAAGTTACTTAGAATGATGCTATTGACAGAGTAGTCAACATTATTAATTTGAGATTATGAAATCATTATTAAATTATAATAAAATGTATTAAGTCTTATGATACTTATGCCAAGTCTCCTCCATCAAGCCTGACTGGTTTAAAGTAAAACTGGAATAGTTTTCAGGATCATTCTGACTCATTCAACCTAAGTTATCACTCTATAAATGATTAGTTTTTATATAAATATAAATGTACATATATGCAATTCTAAAAGAAAACACAAAGTAATTGACAGTATTTCCTTTGCTCTTATATACAATGATTCCTTAGCAACTATTAACAGTAAAAACCCTTACCTTTTGGTGGAAAATAGGACTTGCTTTCTGCTTTATGAGGCCAATCTACTACCAAAGGCCCAAATCTTCTGAAGCTAGCAGTGATTTCATCTTAAGAAAATACAAATAATATGTATTAGAAATTAGTTAAAATAATTCATTCTAAGGAATTCCACTCTTTTAATTACTCTAAAAACTTAATATTTAAAAGTACCAAAGTACCAAATATAAAGTAGAATAATCTGTTTGGTATTAGTTTTAAAAATTTTATATAATATCACATGAATACTATAATCCTAGAGTTCACCAAACCATAAATAGCACTGGCTTTTTAAAAAAAATCAACATTACATCAAGTTAAATAAAAAGAGCTATTGCTGCTTCATAAGTAAAGCCATATTATTATAGGGGAAAAATGATCTCCTGAACCAGTATGAAAAAATATACCAAGTTCTGACATATGCCACGTATTTTCATTGATAAATGTGTGTGTGTGTATGGCAAAATCCAATATCAACGCTATGTTCTAAGACATGGAAATCTTATTAACATTTACACATTTACAGTAAGTGGGAGCATCTGAATCATAACTGAAAAATTTCCCAGAATGTAGCATTATCTTCTCTATTAATTATTAGTGAATGGAAGATTTCCCATAATATGACAAATAAAGATTACAATCTTTATCTTATTTTTTTGGTATTATTATAAAATATCATTTCCACATATTTATTAGCCTTTGTATAACTTAAATTTCCTATTTTATGTTTTTCTCTTTTGGATTTTATAGCCACTTTCTTACCTGTTTCTAAGAGTACATTAATACTTGAAGAGATTTAACTTTTGATTGTTATGCATATAATATAGTTTCATAGTTAGTTTCATTTATTTTATTATATGTGTATTTGTGTTTTTATGATTATATAAAAATATGTTCTATAATAAATTTAAAAAATAAGTGGGATATTATCTAGGAAATCTTATTTACAAAAAAATTGCTCACTATAACAATATATAATATAGTATATAAATAAAAGCTTAAAAATATTTGTTGGATTACCTTCATATTTAAACAGGTGACAAACTATTTTAACAAAGATGAGTATCCCTTCTAACTATATAACTCTCTAGGAGGTTAAAAATAGTTTCATACCCTATTTGTACTATACTTCAGTATTTTTTAAATTTTTTTTAAGGTCAAATTGCCTTACCTTCATCAATATCTGGAGGAAGCCCACCAACAAAAACTTTTCGAGAGAAGCGTTCTATTCGTTCTCCATTTTGATGAGCTGAATAACATGTGGGTGAATTTAAAACACCAACTTGATCACTGTGACCATCATCCAGCAAACCATCATCTATTGGAAAAAGGGAAGAACGACCTACAATATAAAAACAAAGATAAACTGAATCTCAGGTCTAAGAAAATGATAAAGTCAAGCATAAAAATACTGAAAACAAACTCAAAATAAAGGTGACACAGGTGTAAAGAAAAATTAGTGGAAATTTAGATAGTATAAGGTTTTAATTATCAAGAATTGAGAGACATAATCTAGAAGAATGACTTAGGGGTGCAGTCATATGACAATAATTATATATACTGCAAAAAGAAAAACAAAACACTATATCATTTTTTAAATTGTTTTTATGTACAGCAGCAAGAACTTGAAGTTTGGGGAAAAGACTCTTTGAATAACAAAAGAATCCTATAGAAACTGGTGGCAGAAAGGAAATAGAACAGACTACAATAAGGAAGAACACATGCAAAGAGTCAATATTTGTATGTAAGACAATGAGATAATCCACTATACATGTGCCAATTATCCAAAGCTTACTCGGGTTTTTTTGCATATGCAAAATTTTAAAAAAGGCATTCATTAGTCCCCATGTGAGACCCCTTCAAGAATGCACCCTTGTATATTGGGCACATGCTTGTTGTACAATGCTCTGAAATAATTCTGAAGCTAGACCCTGTAAGGATCACAAAATGTAAAATAAACCTAATAAGATATAGTTCTCTGACCTCAAGAAATATAAATTTAGAAGAGGTAAAATATAATCATGGGACTATGGCACATGTCCATAAGAAAGCTACAAAATACTTCCAATGAAGTGTAATAATGCAAAGGAGCAGTCTGTCTAATCAAGGGTAATTTCTTAAATCTACAAGTGATATTATAATACATCTGTGGTAAAAACGGAAAGGTAGCCCAGAGCACATTAGAAAGTATAGAATACTTACAGGTAGAAATATTTATAGAACATTTGAGTAAATTTTCTATGTGGAAGGAGAAACATATGAAAAAGCAGAAAAAATAAACTTATTTATGAAATAAGCAGAATTCAAAGTTGGCTGAAGCATGTCAGAAACAAGGAGAGTAAAAGAAAATTCCTTTGAAGCTAGCAGGAGTACTTAGCTTAAAAATCAGACTAAGGTGGGTGCGGTGGTGCATGCCTATAATCCCAGCAGCTTGGGAGGCTGAGGCAGGAAGATCTCGAATTCAAAGCTAGCCTTAGCAATGTGAGACACTAAGCAGCTCAGTGAGACCCTGCCTCTAAATTAAAAAAAAAAAAAAAGGCTGGGGATATGGCTTAGTGGTTGAGTTCCCCTGAGTTCAATTCCTGGTATCTACCAACATCCCTGCTCCACTCCCCACCCCCCACCCCCAAAAAATAACAGACTAAGAAGATATTTAGTAGGTGGTAGTATAGTGGTTCAAGCAAGATTATAAGTTTCTTTTCTTTAGGAAAACTTAGCACATCTGGACAAAGAAGTTAGAAATGAGTAGATAAGAAGTTATACAAAAACTCCACAAAGGATGGCAGGCAATAAACAGTAGATGAGAAGCAAAATAGGGTAAAAGAATGGAAAAAAAAAAGAATCAAATTAACACTGTAGAAAATAAATGATATGAACTATTAACTGATCATAGGGCAGTAAGGATCAGAAAGAGGGGTACAGGAAAGGGAAATGAGTTAAGCTTTAAACATGTAAATTTTCATATGGTGCAGATGTATGGAACACGAGTGAAGAAAATAAATAAATTGCTGGGCACGGTGGTACATGCCTGTAATCCCAACAGATCCAGAGGCTGAGGCAGGAAGATCTTAAGTTCAAAGCCAGCCTGAGCAACTTACTTAGGGAGACTCTGAGCACTTTAGCAAGACCCTGTCTCTAAACAGAATATTTACAAAAGGGCTGGGGATGCAGTTTGGTGATTAAGTGCCCCTAGGTTCAATCTCCCTATTAAAAAATACAAAGCAGATAATTTAGCATCATCAACTCCACAAGGGTGATAGTTTAAAGTTCTTTGTAATGTCAGTAATTAAAAAACAAAAACAAAACAAACCCCTCCAGAAGAATGAGGAGGAAAAGTTCCTTTGGAAACAAGATAGTAGAACATTCAAGCAGTTACAGAATGGAAGTGGTAAACAAAAGGGGAGGGGGCAAATATTACAAGGACAAAAGTCCTAACAAAAAGATAAAGAAGCAAAAGGAAGAAGAGAAAAATGTGAGATGTTAAGAAGATGATGTTTAAAAAATGAGAACTATGTTTGAGGATATGCAAGATATTTGAAGGTATCAGTTTTAGTAAAATTGGATGGGAGTCACTCTTCAGGAGTTAGTTTTGTGAAGTATAAACATCAAATGAAGACTAGTCCTTGGAAATGTATTTGAGAAGGAAAAAGAAGAATGCAGAAAAGTTGTTTTTATTTCAAGATTAAGTATTTTTTTGATAAAGAAACAAGCATATAACTTACAGTACATGCCTTAATCTATAAAGTAAGAAATATTCAAAATAGGTCTTTTATATGCTATCATCTTGAACAGGATGACAATGATATGATACAAAGACAATTAGAAATGTCACACCCTGCATAGAACTGACTGGGGACAAGGAGGGAAGAGTGGGCTAAGGAGATGTTGGTTATAAGAAGTTTACAGTACACAAAAATAGGAGAAAACCATATTTGATATAGTAAACAGAAATTATTCTACAGATTTGATTTCAATTTAAATACTGTAAGATGTTCTGAAAAATACCCATGTTTATTGAGTGACTCTATAATTTAATAAATGTAACTGTCCAAAACTTTTGTTTTCAGAAATAAGAGCCAATGAAAAACAAAAGTCAATATTCTTTGTCATCAATGGAAAGAAATCTCTTCCTTTATTTGAATCCTTAATAGTAGATGTGATTCATATTTTGGAGTTTTTCAGATTTTTGCATTTTCAGATCAGGGATGCTCAATCTGTATTTTTACTTAATAAAATGAACATCAATATCTACTAAATTATGTGTGTTTAAATGAATAAGACTGAAACAAAACTAACTAGTTTTTAGGGAGTAAAAATGCCAAATTCAATTGTACTTATTTCAATCATGCAAATACTTTGGAAACTATTTCATTTAAAAGTGTCCTAACACATTCAAACTTAGCATTACATAAATCTGACAGATAAAGTTTAAAAGACTTTATCTTGAGAAAAAAAAAACATATCATAAATATTTAGGGTCTGAATAGAAAGACTGAATGAATAGAGTGATAAAATAAATCACTGTAAGCAATGCCAGAAGGAGAAGTAACCACAAAAACGTTTTGTAACTATAATATTATAAGTATATTTATATTCTGTAATCTAATTACATTTTAAGGACTGTTATTATAATAATAGTTGCTATAATATTCAATCTAAAGTAAAATATATTAGTTAGTATTATAAAAATATTACACAGTTAGTATATCTGTAAAGAAATCTACAATCTATTAGCCAAAGTTCAGCTGAGCAAAAAATATAGCTGAAAGGTTAAGAACATTTCAAACATGAGCAACACTGGCAAGAATTTTCAATGCTGGAAAATAACTACAGCTCTCAAGAAGCAAAAAAGTTACGGATTTTTCATATTAATTTAAAAAGAGAAGTTAAATAAATATAGATCTTCAACAAAACTACTACTTTTTATCTTGCCAATTATCCTTCCCTATAGCCCAAATTAATATGGCTGTAAAAGAAAAAAACAATTAGGTATGTCTACCATGTACAATATACTTCAAACACTCATTCTATGAATGATATACACATTTTTGCTGATACTTTGAAGAAATGACAATTAACTATAATGTAAATACAACAAAAATCCTGTGGAATGCAGCCAACGCCACACTTAAAAGGAATATTTGTAGTTTTAAATATATAGTAAAAAACTAGAAATGATTAAAACCAATAACTTAAGTTTCTGCCATGAAAAGCTGAAAAAATAGGAAATTCAACACAAAAATAAAGTAGTAAAAAACAAAACAAAGTCGATGACACAGAAAAAAGAGACTAACATTAAGAAAATAAAGATGAGTTAAATTGAAAGCTTATAAAATTGATAAGCCCCTGGGCAAGTTTATCAAGAAAAAAGGAAACTCAAGTTATAAATTCTACATATGAAAGAGGAAACATGAATCAATATAGAACTTACAGACATTAAAAGGCTAGAATCAGAAACATTATGAACAACTTTATATTAAGGAATTCAACAATTAAGAGGAAATGAACAAATTCCTTTTAAAAACAACACTTATCTTTCAACACCGACCCAAGAAAAACAGAAAAATCTAAAGAGTTTGATATCTTAAAAAAAAAAATCTTTAACTTAAAATGCAAATAAAAACAAGGTAATAAACCTTCCAACAAAGAACACTCCAGGCCTAGATGGCTGTACTGTGAAAGAAAGACTTTTGAAGACAAAATAACAGCAATTGTATACAAATTCTTTTAGAGCATAAAGAGGAAACACTTCCTAACATTAAAATCTCACAATAATATAATAAGAAAACTCATATATAATATCAATATCTCTTATAAACACAGATCAAAAATCCTACATGACATTGGCAGAGTGTAGAAAGCAGGCTGTGCCCTTCTGAGTTGCTGCTCCATGATATATAAAACAGTAGTTTACAAGCTGTGCCTAACCCTTTGTTACTCCATCTTATAAAGCATTAGTTTGCCATGAATTATTCCATTTGAATATGTGTTGAAATAGAACAACTCTATACCTTGTTTGTACAAGTAAAAAACCACTATCTGCCTAGGACAACCATAAGACAAACTGAAAAATTAACTGTGCTAACAAAAATGACCACCTGTGAACTTGCTGAATTAAATCAGAAGCACATGGATACATGGACATATCAACTCCAATATCAGGAAAACCAAGTTCATGAGCTTATCAGCTTATTAACTCCATCATATTACAAGATAAAGCAACTCCCTTAACTTGAGACCCATAAAAGGTAGAACAAGGTAGCACACTGACCCCATCATCTGGTCACTCACCATGAGCCTTTTCCAGGAAAACTACCACAGCAATGAACCTCTATTTTTGTCCCCAAGCTTTAGCTCAGCACAGTTTCTCCTGCGCCTGACAATAATGCACAGCTCACTCCAAACTGACATCTCAAAGTTGACACTCTGAAACTGCTATCTGTATGGACACTGAACTAGAACAAGTTCCATATTGTACAGCTCTATGCCCTCAACAAGTTCTTCAGCTGGTTCATAATCTTATCTGACCACCTACAAGGACTCTGCATTCATTCCTATGTGCTCTCTGCCTTTGCTCAGTTCAGCCTCTTGAACCTGTGTGGCCACCTTAAACTCTTTTAGCGTGCGTGCTCGCTCGCGCTCTCTCTCATTCTCTCTCTCTCTCTCTCTCTCACACACGCACACACACACACACACAATTATATTAGTGTGATGCGTGACTTGTGTTACTGTTAAAAGTGGTATAGCTTGATAACTTAGTGTTATTCAACAAATTCTGACATTGTGGAATGACACAAATTGGTCTATATTAATGGCATAGCTCACTCAGAACAAAGGTAAATCCAAAAATATATGAAAATGAAAATACATCATGATTAAGTGGAATGTATTATAAGCCTTTAGAAACCCTGCTTCACCATCATGCCTTGCCATCAGGAAAATGCAAATTAGAAGCATAATGAGTCACTACACATGTCTTTGCAGATTTCATCTCTAGACATATTTACTTTAAAATTAAGTTCATTAAAATTCTGTTTCCTTTAAAAATTGGTATGACTAGGTAAGCAGTCTCATCAAAGTGGGGGGCAAGTTGGGTCAGCAAATATTTTTTTCTATGAAGGCTCAAACAGTAAATATTTTAAGCTTTGCAAGTAATACATTCTTTGCTGCAACTGCTCAACTCTGCCATCATTCTAACTCCAAAGAAGTCAGAAAATAAATAAATAAATGGGTAAATAATCGCTGTGTTTCATAAACTCTGTTAAAAAAAAATGGGAAGCTTGGCCTATGTGCCATAGTTTGTTGACTGCTGTGTTGAAGTATTATTCTGGCATTTTTTTAAAATGCCTCAGATACCTTCTGCATTCTATGATAGCTATTGAAATTATCTAAGATGAGAATTTCAGCTCGGTTGAATCATAATAAAAAGGATTTGATAGTGGAGATAGTAGGAACTATACACTTATTCTGGCTACTTCATAAAACTGTTTCAAATCAGAAAGTCCTGGGTCAGCTTTAAAGAAATGCATGGATATACTTCATTATTAATAATTCCTTATTTATGATAGCACATAAATCTGAATGGCCATGTGCTATAAATAAGTCAAACCTCAGTAACTCAAGCTCTATAGTTTGTATCCCTTTAAAATTATTTTTCTTATCTTCCCATTCCACATGTAATTTACTAACTCAAGCTTTGAGTTTCCTTGCTGGAAAAGACTACTCCCTGAGGCTTGTCTCAACTAAAATAGGCTCTTTATTTCTATTATTCTAAATATTCTATATATTCTTATTTTAGAGCATAGCAGCCCTTTAATCTTCTACTAATGGGGCAGAGGTTGTGATATAGAAATATTTTAAGTAGAATGACAGGCTTAAATTACTCTTTATACCCCCTATATAACTCCCACTTTACTTTAACCCAGACCACTCTATGTCACCCTCAGAATGGAATGAAACAATAATACCAAAGAGAGGTAGTTTTCTTCATGTGAAAGTCACCTCCCCATGTGTGTATTCCTTTCTTAATCCTGTTTCCCAGAAAGCTCTGAAGCAGAATTCTTTATAGTTCCCAAGAACAGGGATACATAAAAGAAGTAGTAGGTTGCAATAAAATACAGGGAAAGAAATCTTTGCCATTTCTTAATTACTTCCTGTAAAATTACATTTTGATTATTCCTAAGTCATACTTCAAAAATGAACATCTAAAGTCAGAGTGACTTGAAGTTCTTCTTGAGGAAACTGAACTGTATAAAGTCATCTTGGTAGTAATTTAGTCTGACTGTAACCCAGTGATAAGTATTAAATGAAAACAGCTACTCTACGTTGGAGGGTGAGTCAAAGGCCCCACGTAAAAAGAAAAGGCAATTCTTTCTAAACTGGATTTTGAAAGTCAGAATGCCCTGTGAAATTCATACTGTTCCCCCACTGTTACTCTGGAAAGAATAATAGGAATTTGGGACAGAAACTCTTATCAACTCATGTGATGCATTGTACATGAACAGAAGATATGAGAGACATTTTTTCCTTAAAAAAATGACTAAACAAATGAATGAAATAAGTTTCTTTGATGATCTACTTTAAAACACAAAGTTCACAAAAGGGGATATTTGGTAGTTAAAAGATTACCAGTCTGAGATTGACATGATGTTTAGCACAGAATGGGGGAGGAGACTATGCAATGAGAGAGCTGGTGACTATTTCTAACTCTTTATGAATTCCTTTGGTATGCATTCCTTTGGTATGCAGGTTTTTAAAAATATATATATATATACTTTATTATTCACTGTGTCAAAGTACTTTCAGTAGTAGTAGCTTTAGTACTTTCAATATAGCTTTTTTTCACAGTAGCTATTTCTAATGGTATAACTTTCCAGTGAATATCAAAATCACAATTTTAAAAAAGGCTTCTAAAATTCCCAAAGGATCAATTAAAAAAACAAAACAAAACACAGTAATGCCATATAGTCTGAGAGAAAATTCAGGTATTAACCCCCCTCCCTTAAGCTAAACCAAATATGTGAAGAAACTGTCAGCTCTGTCCTAAAGGAGGATTTTACTATAAATGTATAAAGGCTTAAAACCATTTGAGTCTTCCTGAGGGGCAGTTTCGAAGTACAACTTCTGTTATAGCTCCCAGGACATAGAGACAGAAGAATGAATTATAGCAAGTTCTTATCTAAAAGCAGGGAAAGAAATTTTTTATTTTTCTTAATATCATAATCATAATCTATACTTACTGAATTGAGATAAGTAGATAAGTAACATGACTTTCTGACATTTTCCTCCTAAGAATTTACTAGATCATGATATTTACATTGGAGTATTCTTAACTAAAAAGTCACTGAAGTTAAAAATTGGTAAATATGTAACAAGAAAACTGAATTGCTCTGTAGTTTCAAAAATACTTAAAGATCAGAGTAAATTGGTTGTTTTCAAGAGAACTGAGACTCTATATTACATTGTGCAATAAGCCACTCCACAGATGTGAAAATGGCTACTAAAATTCTAAAGTCTCCTGCTCTCTTCTCAGCTTACTAACAGCAGTCTTTAGCAAGTCATTCAGCTTCAGTTTTCTAAATTTTGAGTTTCTATCCTAATTGTTTTAGTGAGAAAATTGAAGAACCAAAAAGATCCAATTAGGTATCTAAAGAAACCAGATTCCAGTAATGAAATTAAACCAGACAATCTAAAATATGAAACTAAACTACAACTTAAGACTATAAAATACGTGGGTTTTGGTTGTCAGTGGGGGTGGATGGCTTCACTTGTTTATTTTCAAAGTACACATACTCATCACTAGGTGAAAAGAAGTTGAAGCACTGGCACACATTTACAAAATGTATCAAAGGGCAATATTATTACTTATTACTGTTCACCCTCCAAGGCTTAAGGGAGATCCTAGAGGGATTGGGGAAAGCACTTTGTAGTCAGTGTGGCACTCAGAACAAGCAGAACTACACCAACAACATGTGGGTACTGCTCACTTAGAGAGCAGCCCAGTAGTGTTGTCACTTTTGGTTACTCTCATGCTATCAACTCTTCTCCCTCTCAGTTTCTTTTTTCTTCTTCTTCTTTTTTTTTTTTTTAAAGAGAGAAAGAGAGAGGGGAGGGGAGGGGAGGGGAGGGGAGAGGAGAGGAGAGATAATTTTTTAATATTTATTTTTCAGTTTTTGGTGGACACAACATCTTTATTTTTATGTAGCGCTGAGGATTGAACCCAGCGCCCCTTGCATGCCAGGCGAGTGCATTACCGCTTGAGCCACATCCCCAGCCCCTCCCTCTCAATTTCTGCACTTGGAAAAGGGAGAGGGGTAAAGTTTTAAAGAGAGAAAATGTCAACAGCTTTCCTAGACTCATTCTTAGGACACCACACAAGAATGTTGAGGGAAACCCTGTCATGAGGGAAGAAGAGAGAAACCTAGAGGCAGTGCAGGTGGGCAGGGGTGAGCAAGAAGGAAAGGACTATGGTTTTAGAAGACAGAGTAATATTAGCAACGCAATTTCTACCAGTCAGTGCTAATTATCTACTTAGTACACGTACTATTTTCAACTGAGTCAAAGATAAAAATAATCTGGAATTGTAAATTATATACAATGGATAAAACAATGGGGATAGTTTAGAGAGAGGAAAAAAACACATGGTGTGTCAACTTTACTAAATTTATTAAACATGTTTCTTAAACAGACCCACTATAAGCAGAAACCTTATTTTAAGATACAGAAATAACTTTTTAAAAAGTTTACAAAGGAATACTTTATTAATAACTGTAATTAGTATGAAAATACACCTTAAAGGTTGAGAGAGTCAGAATTAAAAACTTGTACAAGTGCTTACATAAAAATTTAATTCTTCTGTGAGTTTTAGATATTGCTTGGAAATTCTGGAATAATTAATTACAACACTGATCAGTAAAATCCAATTAGAAACAATTATACCATAGCAAACAGAAAGGAATTACCTCGTCTTCGCCCATAACTCCTTGCTGCATGTAAACAAAGGACAAATTGTAAAATGTCAGAACTAAAAATAAGCCCACATATACAAATATCTGTGATATGAAAAAGCCATGTGGGCATCTGAAAATTAGTGCTATTTTGTTTTAAGAGCTGTGATAATGTCACTACAGTACTTGCCTGATGTTTTACCATTTACAAAGCATTTTCAGATGTGTGTGTATATACATACATACATACATACATACATAAACTCTTTTAGAAGCTAAAATATGGATAGTTTAAAAGGAATAATTTTATTAAATAACCATTATTAAAATCACCTAAACCGTATAAAACTATAAAATTAGGCAGTAAATACATAATTTACCCTCATTCACATTTAAAATTCAGAAATATTTATTTCATCTGATCATGATAGAAATATACAACAATTTATAGTTAAATAGTATCCCAAATAATTTTCTCAATGAATAAAAACAACTTGTATTAAATTCTTATTTCCTATTTTTATAAAGAGTAGTGATGGTATGCAATGTCCAACAAATTATTGCTATTTAGATCTAATCTACATTATAGGAAGAAGTAGTTGACCAAGAAAATATACTACCACTAAGCTGATACTATGAAGCCTGTACAGCTGAGATAGAATATAAAATCTGTATTCACACTTGCTTGGTTAGAGAAATCGTTAATGATGTACTATAGCTAATAATACTTTCTATTCTTTTGATATATTTTTTAACACATATCTACTAAATGTTTATGTATCTCCCTCTGGGAAAGGAAAGATTCAGATACAAATTATGATTAATATAATCATAGAAAAACATTTCAATTTGATACTACATGTTTACATAATTTCTAAAAGGAAAACAATACTAAAATTTCTTCTTAAGAACCTATCAGTTTGATAAAATCCCCATCTTGGTTTTAAATAACTCTTCCTATCAAATCTGAGCACATAATAATATGTATTTTTTTACCCTAGAATTAATGTATAAAGTCAAAGCAATAAACCAAAAAAATGACTTAAAAATTAATATCTTAATTCATAATTAATTCATATTCATAGACATTTTTGGGTCTGGGAAAAATTCAAAACTGAATAAATATCAAATCAAAATATGTAGCAAAAGCTGTCATTTGTGTCAACCCCCCCAAAAAAGTATAAAATTTAAAAATCAAAAGAAAACATTTGACTTCATTAAATATATTCTCTTCTAGAAATTTAAAAAATATATTTTCAGTTTTATAATATTAAGGCTTTAAATAATGTGACTATAAGTTAGAATGCTACATTTATTCTTCTATAATAAAAAAGTAGGAATACAAACTTATCAACTCTTGTTAATTTACATTTGCAAGGAAAAAAGCCAATAAACATAGGGCTCATATCAGAGCCTTTTAAATAAAATATCTTAATTTGCATCTCTATCATTACAATGTCTTTACTAAACTATATGATTTACACTTAACCTCTCCTTAAGCTCCTATGACCTCAAAACCTCGCAGATTTATTTCACAGCTCACCTGTTCTACATATTAGTTTAGGGTGAGAGTGAAAGTGCACGTAGCATTAAGAATTTTGTTTTCTAGGTCTTTTAAGACTTTTAGAGACCTTAAAAATAAGAGTTTCACAGCAATGGGAGATTAACTATGCAAAATCAGATTCTTAAAGGTAATATTCAGAGCTATCAAGAGTAGACTGTCCAAGAGTGAATTCTCTAAAAATCTTAGTAGCTGTATTAAGCCTGGAAATAGTCAATAGTTCCCAAACCTTTTACAGTATCTCTCAGGAGTTGGGCTTCCTGCTTATCCCTAGGTACAGTATAATGATGTTAATCCAGTATACATCTGCTTTAGAAAATTTCATTCATAGCTATAGAGGGCCAAAAATTTAAAAAGGCATATGGAACTATTTTCATTAAATTTCAAGTCAAATGATGAATTATATTGAAGTCATAACACAGCATATAATTTTTGACCTACTAAAAAAATTAATGACATCATAACACTTTATGTTCTTAAGTATTGTGTTCCTAGCTGAGGCTACTCAATACTAAAATAGTCAAAATATGTATTATATTTATTATATTCACAGCATCTTATGTTTCATCACATTCCTAGGCTTGAACATAATTATTTAGACATTTTCTCAAACTAGCTCATACCTGAGAAATTTTAGAATCCTATAAAAAAGCCACTCTATATCCCCACCACCACCCTGGATAACTGACTTCATATAAAGCTAACCCATGTGAAATATTTCCTATTTCCTGTCATGGAAATAACCAATTTGCCACAATCACACTAAATAATTGTTTTTATACTCACTTTTCTACCAATGTTTCTAAGTGAATTTTGGAGGTATATTTCAGTATAACATCAAATCAGAATTATAAGAAACCCACCAGTAAGAAAAGAAAATTATGTGACTATTTAAAAAAAAAATATTTCTTTAAAAGTCTGCTTCTCTAATTCAGAAAATAATTTAGGGGAAAAAAGAGGAAACTTTTTTGCATAAAAATTATATTTACAACATCAAATTTCATAAACATATATATTTGATAAAATATTTATAAAAAGGAACTTTACACAAAAAATGAGGACTGGCTATTTGATACACATATATGTACATTTAATATATACATATATTATTGATGGGTGAACTTCTTCATGTATTTAAAGATAGCAAGAAGGCTCTGAGAATAGCTTGAAGACCTTGCCTATAAGAAGTGACTTTACAATTTGATCCTGGTTTTTCAGTAATCTTATTCAGGGTTTTATCCACAGCTATAAAAAAGAAATAGAATGATTTTAACATTCTGTTTAGGGACTTTGAGCCTTAAAATACTGGCTGTCAGCTAAAGCTGTGAAAGCTGAATTATTGCAGCTGGAAAAAGGAATATACAAGACATACCAAATTAGCTGGAAAAAGGTGAAAACTCTCTCAATGAGAAACTATTTTTATTTCCTTAACTTGAAAAAGCAAAAGTAGGAAAAGAAATCTACTGACCCCCAAATTATAATAATACTTTTCAAGATCCAAATAAAATCTGCTGTTATCTACTCTATTCATTCCCTGCAGAATGACAAAGAACTCAAGATTCCTATTTTCATGACTTAATATAGTGTATTCAGAACATCTGCCTTCAGAAATGCAGCTTCACTTATACGTAAATTTTCTTTAGTAAAAGGTGTGCAGAATTTCTCCCTCCCCACAAAAGTACAGCAAGCTTTTGATCACACAGATGGCAATACCTGGGTAATCAATGCAAATTTAAATTTCAAACTAGCTTGCTGATACCATCCAATCCAATCGCTATACTTCTGGTCTTCTTGTTCCCCTTTTGTAAAAGGTGGTAATAAAAATATATGTAATTTTACTTGGGAGAGGTGGGGAGAGTACAATGCAATCCAAATAGAGACAAATACTTGAATGATACACCATCTTGAATTCCTCCTTACTACTGTGGAAAAAGGAATTTTGTTCTTTATTGTTTTACTATTGATAATATATAAGTATAAGATTTATATAGTTATAAATATAAACAATATTTAACCTCAGATTTTTAGACAATTTATATATTCTTATGTAATGCGATTTCCTTAAAGTGCTGAATGGTAAATGAGAACTTATATTCTATAATATTTTAGTTTTTCAATGGTGGCAGTCTCTAATAGTCAATTCATCTTGATTTCAACTTGATTTGAGGAACACTTTCTACTCAGAAGTAGTGGCCTTCTTGCAGTTTTATTTATTAATGGTGTTTGCACTCTCCTACCAATGTTTCTTTGTAAATTTTTTATTGTTTAATTTTTAATAATCATGTTATATATGTGGAAAATATATCTGAGTTAACAAAATCTCAGATTTAAGAATTTGCATAGTTTTTGCAAGTGTGACCAAATTTATGACTTTTAGCCTATTCCCTGAGAATTGCTTAACAGACTATTGAAAAGTTTAACAATAAGCTGGGAACAGTGTTGTGACTCAGGAACCTGAAGCAGGAGAATCACAAATTGAAGACCAATCTCAGCAACTTAGTGAGGCCCTAAACAAATTAGTGAGACTCTGTCTCTAAGAAAAATAAAAAATAAAAAAAGGGCAGGGGATGTGGCTTACTGGTTAAGCACCCTGGGTTCAACCCTCAGTACCAAAAAAAAAAAAAAAAAAGTCTAACCAGAACTATGAATTAGCTAGTAAGGTAGAATCATAAAACCTGTATAATGTTTGCCATGTCTGACTAACAACCAACTGTACTATTATTTAGATGGTATTATTTTTTATTAAAGGTATTCAAACTTAACATTATTGGGACATCACAGGTGATCTGTCTTCCAAATTTTCTAAGAAATATTAATTTTTTAAAACAATTATGAATTTATTTTAATCTGTGCATCATGAAAATTAACCTTGCATATTTCAAGAAGCAAACGTACCAACATTATTTTGTATTGATCCAAACTTTGTCCCTATAAATCTTTCTACAAATGGCTCCAGTTTGGCTTTTTAGAATAACATAAAACAAAGTTTGTTTATTATATATGACATCCTTCAAATAGTTGAAAGTATCAGTATGTCTTCTCTTAATTTTATTTTCTCCAAAGTAGACATACTCAGCTCTTTCATCTATTCAAAGGACACCATTTTCCCTCTTGCAAAATCATTGTTTCTCACTGTTCTACATCATTCCTTACTTCCAGCTAACATTTACTTTCAGGAACTGTTATAAATACTTTAAATGAGTTAATTCATTCACTCTTCTAAACAGTCCCTCTGAGGCAAGGTAGTATGCTATTTTCATTTTAAATATGCAGGAACTAAGTCAAAGTAAAATAAGGTAAACTGTTCAAGGTTACGTAGTTAGAAAAAGCAAACTGGCTTCATTCAGAGTCTGTGATATCAACCACAGTGAACTATTGCTAAACAACTACAAAAACGTTCAGACAAAATGTATTACTAAATATTGATTTTTTGAAAGTCAACAGTATTAACTATGCTTGTTGGGTAAGGGATACAACTTAATCAACTGTCCAAAAAGTGAGTTATATATTTTTGGCATACTTTTTATTTTAAGAAAAAAGCTTTTAATAATTAAAAAGTCATCCTTCTCTACTAGACACTACACTTTCTTTAATGGGTCAATGATATTTAATAAATAGTTTAAGCAGAGTCTTGAAGTAACAATATTTACTTTTCATATTTCTTAGGGAGACAATATGCTAATACAATTGAATTTCATGTAGTTAAAAGTAGCTCAAGAAAAAATTCCCTTTACCTTTTAGTGTACTACACTTTGCTAGTTCTCTCTTCGATAACCTTAATGTCTAAAATTTAAATTATAACTATTTAATACTTCTTTATCCCATGAATATACCCAATTATGTGATTTCTTGCTTCACCTCTTTGCCAGTGATCCAAAATAAGTAAAAGAAAATTTTTTCCTCTTTGGATTAAATTGTCTCTTCCCTGACCTATACATCTTGATGTCCTAGTTTCATTCTCCTTTATTTTCCCCTTGGTCTCTTGGCAAAAGATTCCAGAATTTCTAGGTTGACTTCCTGTATCAAGTAAATATTGTAGCTCCAAATGATAGACTACTGAGTGCTTACATAATTAAAAAAAAGTGATTTGTCTACAAGATGTAATTGTTGCTTGAAATGAAACATTCTTATGTATTGTATGTGATCTCTTTTCCACTTAACATAATGGCTTTTGACAACAAAATCAACAATTAGTTTAATAAAGTTTAGTGCAACAAAAATGTAAGTTGTAAAAACAGTGTGTCTACAAAGCTCTTCACTCACACAAAATTTGAATATTTTATTGTGACCATCCTAGCTTACACTGTTTCATTCAACAATTTAGGAATATCTGTGAATAATCTATAAAATTATCTCAAAATATTTCTCTTTCAAATGGAATTTAACAGAATGTGTGAAATATATACAAATTCAAACTTTTAAACAGAATTGCTTTATCACAAGTTAAAACAGAAATGTGAGGAATCTTTATTTACCACACTGAATGTTTAAGGAAGGAAGATCGATATTTACAATTTATTATTTCCTGAACTTATCATTATTTTATAAATCAAGCAAAGGGAATAATAAAAATAAGCTATTTTCTGGTTTGTACACTCAGTTACAGAATTATCCTTTTTAGTTACAGATTTAGAATCAGAAACCAGCTGTCCAATAGGAAAAAAAAAATGTTGAATACAGAAGTGGAATTTCTAGAACATGTCTTGTCAGAATCCTCAAGCTCAGAGTAGAAAAGATTAGGCTACTGTATGGCAGACCACTCAACACACAAGTTAAATGTTGAACAGCCAACCAATCAGCTCTCTTAATGCTTTGCTTCAATTTTTTCTCATTCCAAATCCTATCTACTCTGACAATCTCCCTAGTAGCATGAACTTTATTTTTACTTTTCTGTCACTGTTGTTGTCTTTCCTTAATATTAGTTTACATGGCCTCATTTTCAGTGTTTGTTCCTCAACTTTATTGCTAAAACTTTAGTTGAAATATAAGAGCCAAGTCCTTCTACTGTTATATTTTTTTAAAGGAACTAGGATTTCTATTTCTTACACTCCCTTTCCTTCCCCCACTCACCTATTGTGAAGAATATTTTAATTTTCAATCCCTATTCCTATAATCATGGCTGTGCTAAATGTTATGATTCTGTCATACATTAATATTTGTTCAACAGAAGGAAAACAACTCAAAACTTATTTTCATCCTAACTGAACTTCATTAAGTAAAATTTCTAGTTAGAATCAATTAAGTTAGCATTCACTATAAAATTTACAGAATCATTGGTATATTCCTTCAACATAAACATAAGTACTTACACTAAGAAACAAGTTACTTACACTAAGAAACAAATTCTACATACTTTACAAACTTTATCTTACTTAATTCTTGTAATAAACCGACTGTTTCCATTTTACAATTGGGGAAATGAAGGTGACAATTACTTGCCAAAGGTCATAACTTAAAATAAGAAATCCAGTTTACACCAGTTCAAACAAGGATTGCCCCTATGTCTGTGACCACTGAATTAAGTTTCAATGTCACAAATACACTTCAATCACTACTGCAGCCTGAATATACTCTTGATTCCTAATTCTTTCTATATAGGAATATCTATAGCTTTGTTGTTGTTCTTTATTGTTTTTGATATAGGGTCTTGCTAGTCAAGTCTCAAACTGATCTGGTCTAAAATTCCTACTGCCTTAACCTCCTGAGTAGCTGTGATTACAGGTATGCACCACTGTGCCTACATCTACAGCTTTATTTCATACTTATAAAATGATTAAATCATGTGTATGGGTAACTTTCAGAGAAACATGTATTTATATTCCTCTTCATTTATATAAACCAAATAGAAACAAAATTTTTTATAAAACTTACCATTTAACATCAACAGATTGTCAGTTCCTGGATGTGGATAACTCAATCGACCTTTAAAATGAGAGGAAAAAAGTAAATTGAATATTATGGAGCTATTTGAAAAACCAAAAAGGGAAGGGTAGTATAGAGGAAATAATACTGAGCACAGTGTATTTCTTAAAAATTAAAAAGCTAATCTTTAACTCAAATTTATATTAACTAAATTATCTTTGAAAATTGAAAACAAAATGAAAAAGTTATCCTTAGTTCCTAGATTGTAAGATCACAATGTGATGTGAGAACAATGACATGAAAGTTTGTTTTCTGAAATGTAAAAATAATATAGATGTCCTAGTTGTAAAACTTAATATGAAATATGAATTTATTAAATTTTTTCAAAGCGGTCTATAATTTTCTCTACAGATTTCTTACGCCACAAATAAACTTGAAGGAATTTATATTTCTAAGTCAAAAATGACTAAATTGTTAAAATAAAAAATAAGCAGAAAAATTCATCACGACTTTCTATTTAATTCAATGTGGTTTTATAATATTTAAATAAAGAAGCATAATAAAAACATCAATTTTATTATTACAAATGTTATTGGAAATGTAGCTTGTTTAGCTTTACAAATGGTTTAAAAATAAAAAGTGAAAAATGTTACAGTTTATGAGCATAGCAGCAAAGTATTTCCTTTGAGTCATTCTTCATTCAAGAACTTTGTGTTGCATAGCGATAAGAGTACTACATAATGCTAAAAATAAATGCTATGCAGAAAACATACTGTGGTTTATACGGTGTTTACATAAGACCATAAGACTTGCTTGACTAAATACCAACAGCAAGGATGATCATCATTTTCAGCCCATTAAAATATAGTACTTTTGTCAGGTACAGTGGCGCACGCCTGTAATCCCACCCAGCAGCTCCAGGAGGCTGAAACAGTAGGATTTTTGAGTTCGAAGCCAGCCTCAGCAGTTTAGTGAGGCTGTAAGGAACTCAGCAAGACCCTCTCTCTAAATAAAATATTTTTAAAAGGGCTAGGGATGTGGCTCAGTGGTTAAGCACCCCTAGGTTCAATCCCTGATACAAAGAAAAAAAATACAGTTCTTTTCCCTAATGTTTGAATCTGATAGACTATTAAAAAGGTATGTTTAAAATATCTTCAGAAAATGGTTGAAAATTAACTGTCTAGGACTGTGTTCTAGCCACTTTCAGCACTGTTTTAAAAAGATACTATGATAGCATAATTCAGTGCCACCAGAAGGATGACCAATATGTACCTGAATGTGACATAAGAAGAGACAAGCTGTATCCACCTTCACCACCTCTGCAAGTACTATAAGGAGCCTTTAGTGTATCCAAACTTCCCATACAAGTCAGAGATTGTCTGCTGGATTTTTTCTAATTATGAAGTTAATTTAACCATCTACGAATGCAAGAACGAGCAGCAGAAAATCCAATTTTGGCATTAAAGTCTATATACATGTATGAAAGATTATGTTTCAGAGGAGACCTGTGGGGGTCCCACAGTGACCAACCTGTTTTGGGGATCTTGAAGTAAAGATTTCAAGCTTGTCTCACAGAGCAACAAGCAGGAATTGATTAGAAGAAAGCAAGATAAACACACAACAGTACCTTCTTAGGAGAGAATCTCATGGCTCTTATAGAGTTGGGGTTTTGTAAAGGATTTAGGGCATTTTGTTTTTGACTTAGTTTCTCATATTCCCTTAAATGGTTATTACTCTTTGTATAGTCCTCAGCAAATTTTCTTAGTGAGGATGGTTATGACCTGGTCATGAGGGGAGAGTTGTGACTACCTGACCACAAGAGATAGTTGTGACATATTCTTGAAACAATAGTTCCCTGAAGGGGTTATTTACTATGAGGGTAGGGGAATGTTTTGACATACCAATGCCCATTTTCCAGATACCTGTCAGCTTTAATCAAGCTTCCTGTTATCCTCAGTTCTTTGTCTTATGGACCCTCCTTGATGGATATATCTGATGTCCTCCCCCTACTCACCTGCTCATGGCTATTAACCTAACATACAGATCCAAGCACATATATTACATATACACATAGACATGATTTCATCTGAACTCTAATTTAACTATGGCTCATTTTAATTTCAGACTTAGTACAGTTAAGCAAAGTGTTACTGTTCCCTAAAAGAACAATTTACCATCTCTTATTTACTCCTAAGTTTTGTGCAGCAAGATATTAGTTAAATGTCCTAAATAAGGTTGTCATCCTCCAAAAACATAATTAAGTTTATTGTTCTGATACTTTAAAATGAAGTGAGAATTTATTCAGGAGATACAAAATAGAAAGCTACAAAACAGTTTTCCTAAATTGGATTTCAATAACATTATACATTACTCTGAAGTATCACAGCTTATTTTGGAAATATGACTATTTCTAAACATCCTGTGCATGGCCAAATTTAGAGAACAATTTAAGGTTTAAAATATTTCTGACTTGAGGTTTAAAATAAAAAAGCTCCTACACAAGTGGCAACACCTGTTTTGCTATTCAGTATAACATGTTAATTAACTATTCTGTGCTGACAGTATGTAGGATGTGGAGGAAACAAAAATGAATAAAACAGAGACCCTGCTGCTACAGATGCCGCTGCCACAGATGCTGCTGCCCCAGATGCCACAGCCATGCCTGGAGGTCTCTTGCCTCGGTTAACTGGATACCTCTGTGGTTGCTGCCTCTGAACCAGAAGTCTCCTGTCAATCAAGTGCTGCCTGCTCTGCTACCACCATTGCTGCTGTCTCCGATTCCACTGTGCCAGCCTGAGGTCGTCTGGAGGTCTTCTTTCTGGGTGCTGTTGTCACAGAAGAAACTGCTGCCTGGATGCAACTGAAGCCAACACTGCTGCTGACGACCGGAGTTATCCTGGTGATGCTGCCCACACAGATGCACTTGTAGCTGCCGTAGCAGCCACTGCTACTGCTGACCCGCTGCCTACTGCCTGCTGCCAACAACCACCCCCCCACGACCACTGCCACCAAGGCCTAGAGGACTGCTGTGGGGGAGACTCTAGGTTTGGTTGCACGTGGCTGCACCCATTTGGGGACACCAGCCAGGGCCTGGGGCTGGGGTGCCAGCAGGTTTACCACAAGAGTCTCGTGGGGTGCCTGTGGGTTTGGAGGAGCAAGCATGGGGTCTTACTGCTGAGAACACTGGTGGCCCTTGCTTGCTGCTGTATTTCAGGGTTGTTTCTTTGCATCTGTGGATCCCTGGTGGTCTCTCTGCAAGTAGGAGCAGCACTGAGGCCTTGGGACTGCAGTGTGGCTGAGCCTGAGGTATCTGAAGCCCAAATCAGTGGGATAGAGACTGGGTTTATGAAGGCTGATCTGAGTCAGGGCTGAAAAACTGTTGAACACTGACAGAGACAGTTCAACTTTCCAGCAAGATTTATTTTATTTTTTGATTCACTAATCTCTCTACCATATTTGGAACAGGATGTTTTTTATGTATCAGTGTTTAGAGAACAATGGTATAAGAATGGTGTTTTGCATTTTTATTGTATTCTTATGCCTTTAATTTTTTCTCTTTGTAAGTATTCTTCTTCTTTCTTGTCTATTTTCCAACTTTGCTCCAACCAACAGCCAATCTCTGTCGGCTCTTCTTCCACTCTTCCGGTGAATTTTTACTTCTCTCTCACAGATATTAAATAATACACTACCTCTGTTCTCTCATCTATTACTTGAAATTGTAAATTGTTTTAACAAATATTCTGTTTGAATTATAGATACTTACTGAACTTATCATTTTGGTTGAATGTGAGAAAGCAGTAGATGCCTAGGTGGGAGCTACTAGGTTTAGGGCTATATATTGTGTACACTGGGTGCTGCTGATATTGGTCTCACCATTAAAGATAAAGTGCTAGAAACCTCATGGACACTATAGATCTACAGAGTAGAATTTATCCTGCCTTAGATCCATACTTTTAGATGGGAAAACACACTAGCAACATGAAAAAACAAGGGAATAAAGTGCCTCCCCCAAACCCAAGATGCTTCAACAACAGAAGCCACTGATAACACAATTAAAGAAGAAATGTCCAAGAAAGAGTTCAGATTGTATATAGTTAAACTGATGTGAAGTAAAGGATAGTATAAAGAGTTAAATAAAAAAAAAATACAAGAAGTGAAAGACCACTAAAGAGTTAGAGATTATGAAAAACACACAAAAAACCAAGCAGAAATCCTTGAAATGAAGGGATAAGAAAACCACATTGTAAATTCAATAGAAAGCATCACCAACAGACTAGACCACTTGGAAGACAGAACCTCAGATAATGAAGACAAAATATATAATCTTGAGAATAGAGTTGAACATGCAGAGAAGATGGTAAGAAACCATGACTGACTAGAACATCCAAGAATTATGGGATAACATGGAAAGACCAAATTTAAGAGTTATCAAAATAGATGAAGAAGCAGAGATATAAACCAAAGGAATGTACAATCTTTTCAATGATATAATAGCAAAAAATTTCCCAAACCTAAAGAATGAAATGGAAAATCAAATACAAGAGGCTTATAGGACCTGAATATACAAAATTACAGCAGACTAACATAGAGAATAAAGATAAAATTTGAAAGTCTGTAAGGAAAAAAATCAAATTATGTAAAGGGGAAAACCAATTTGGATCTCAACTGATTTCTCAACCCAGACCCTCAAAGCCAGGAGATTCTGGAATAATATATTTCACGTTCTGAAAGAAACACATGCTAACCAAAAATTTTATATGCAGAAAAATTAAATTTCAGATTTGAAGATGAAATCAAAACCTTCCATGATTAAGAAAAAAAAAAGATTTCACAACTAGAAAGCCTACACTACAGGGCATTCAACATAATATTCCATGAGGATGAAGCGGGAAAAAAAAAAAAAGCGAAAACCAGAAAAGGGAGAATCTACACTAAAAGGACATTCAACCAAATGAGATACTAAGACAAAACAAAACAAAACAAAACAAAACAAAAAACAGAAATAAATCAAAATGACAGGGAATACAAATCATATCTCAATAATAGCCTTAAATATTAAC